TGGTCCCCCTGGTCACATAGGTCCAGGGTTCAGGGCAGAGATAAGCTGTACTTAATGGTCGATTGGCTCAAAGGGACAGATGTTTGTACAGGAGAAGGCGTGAAAATGCACTGTGGGCAGGAAGTCGAGATAATCCCCTGCTGGGAGAAGTTCAGGGATATCTGGAGATAAAGCCTGCCTGGGGGGTCGCCAAGACAGAAACCCACTCGCACAATTTCCACGGACTTGGACCTCCAGAAGTCAGATCTGAGCCCTCGCGACTTCTGGGGTGGGGGGTTGTGGGGGTAGAGGCTGAGGGCCACTCATATATGAGAAGCACAGACCACATCCCTCCGACAGGAATGCTAAGATGACCTTCAAAACACTCAGCCGAACAAGTGTCACTTCCGTTGCCATGGCACCGGGGTGTGCCGGTGCCTACACCCCAAATCCGTACGGGGCAAGGCAGCCAGACCACAGCTGTCTCCCCACGTGGTGGCTCGACCGGTCACAAGCCACAGAGTCACCGAATGACTCGTTAAGGACCAGTCCAGCCACCACAGTTTGGCGGCCATCTCCCTGGGTGATCAGAGCAGATGGAAAGACGGCATCACGGGGCGCGCGCAGTGGCCGAGAAACTTCTCAAGTCCCGTCTCCAAGGGGGTCAGGCAGGCCAGCAAGATAACAGTGGGGAGGCACTGGCCTTGCACCCAGCCGACTCAGGCTGGATCCTTAGGCCCCCCTAGAATCCCCTACGCCTGCCAGGAGTGATCCTTGAGCCTAGATCTGGGAGGATGCTCGAGAATAGCTGGGTGTGATTCAAAAACCAAAGCACACAGAAAGAGAATTAAAAGTGGGTTGGGTTGGGGGCTGGAGCGACAGCACAGCGGGGAGGGCATTTGCCTTGCACGCAGCCGACCCGGGTTCGATTCACAGCATCCCATATGGTCGCCTGAGCACTGCCAGGAGTAACTCCTGAGTACAGGGCCAGGAGGAACCCCTGTGCATTGCCGGGTGTGACCCAAAAAGTTATTTAAAAAAAAAAGTGGGTTGGGTTTCCGATCCACCAGAAGCTCTCAGTTACTTGCTTTTATTCCAAACCTCAGCAAGCAACACTTAACATTTCCATGTCGCGATGAATCTTCTGAGGGTGTTCTTGCCTAGGACGAAATGGCTCTACCTGTGGTCATGCCCAGCCATTTAGTTTGTTTTGTTTTGGCTTCCTTTTTTGTTTTGTTTTGGTTTGGTTTGGGGCCATACCCAGTGACACTCAAGGGCTTCATTCTGGTTCTCAGCTCAGGGATCACTCCTGGTTGTGCGGGGGGGAGGGGGGGAGGGGGCAGCAGGGGGACCATATAGGATGCTGGGGATCACACCCAGATAAGGCAGGTGCCTTCACCCCCATCCCACCTCCTCCCCCAAACCATTCATTTCTACTTTGATCATCACATGCGAAGTTCCAGGGGAACTTCGCGTGCTGTATATAGGACTAATGATAAAGTCCAAATCCTACTTTTCTCGGGCTCCCAGACCAAAAGAGAGAGTGCTCAAGCCTGGGTCCCGAATAAATCCTTCTAAGTTCCTGTTTTTGTTTTGGGGCCACACTTGGCTGCGCTCAGGGCTCTGCAGTTGGGGATCATTCCTGGCTGGTTCGGGGGACCCTAGGGGACACTAGGGTCGAAACCAGGTCGGCCACGTGCAAGGCAAACGCCGTCCCTGCTTAGTAAATACTATTGCTACCCGCTAATCCTGAACTTCCAAGGCTTTGCAAGTGAGCATTTGGCTCCTAGCTGTCCAGCCGGGTGAAAATCACTCAGCAGTGGCTGGGAACCTTCCACTGCGCTGGCCCATGGATGCCACCCACTTGGGAGTGACAGAGAAGTGGGAGAGGGTGCTCCCTGCCCAGGTGGCCTGCAGCCTGCTCACCTCTGACCCACCCTGCCCTCTTGACTCTGCTGGACTCCAGGAAAGGTGCAGAACAGGCCCTGCCAACATTGGAACTGGTAAAGTCACGGTCCCCACTGACCTGAGTGCTGTCCGCCCCTGGAGGAGGTGGTCACCTCTTCTGAAAACGGCTGTGACCTCTCAGGGGATCCCACCAGGGCCCTGCCTGTTTCTGAGGGAATCTGTGAGGACCCCCCTGTCTGACGCTCAGAGTCGTCTCCTGGACATGGAGGAAAATCAAAGGCAAGATAAGATCCCATCCACTGATGCTCGGGGGGTTCCTCCTGGCTCTGCACCTCTGCGAGGCTCAGGGGAGCCTATGGGATGCCGGGTATTGAACTTGGGTCGGCGGTCGCAGGCAAGCCAAGCTCCCTGCTGCTCTAGGAAACGCCTGCCCGCTCGGACCTTCCCATTTCAGAGCCCAGGGGGACCAGGGCTGCTTCATCCGGAGTTCTGAGAAAAAGAATCTTGCCGATTTCTGGGTTTATGCAAAAAATGACCGGCAGCGTTGATCAGAAACTCATCTATTTCAATGATTATTTAGTAGTATTGAGCAGAGGGGAAGGAAACAATTTCAGTAACGTGCTGTTCCGTAGAAGTAAACTATGATGAAGAGACACGATGGGTGGAAGGGAAACTCCGTTGCCCGGCTGTCAGGAGTCCAGCTTGCAGCCAGAGCCAGTCTGGACCCCAGCAACCGGGAGAAGACAGACCTTCAGCCCTGCTCCAACACCCCCAGAATCTGGCCGGTCTACGCACGCCAAAGCTTGCGGAGGTCTACGTGGGCCACCCCGTTTTCTTACCCGGGTCGGCCTGCTGGTCATTCCCCTGGCAACAGGATTTGTTCTTGCTCCACCCTGTGATTCTGAAGGCTACTCACATTTCCAACGGATTCGCGCCACGCGGGATTGCAGAGAGAGAGCAGGACGTACCGCAAGGCAGCCGAGACCGGCGCACCCTCTGGAGGTCCCGGAGATGGTCCGTCTTGCTTTGTGACTTGGGGGGGCCCAGGACATGCCAAAGGTGCGCATGGCCTTGAGGGGGTTATTCCAGAACCTGCTTTGCAAAATAACAAGCTTTGGGATTTCTGCTTCTGTACTGCCCACCTACTGCCCGCAAATACCCCCTGCCCGCGTCAGACGTTCTAGAGCACCCGAGTTTTTTTCTTCTGTCTCTTTCCCGGACATCATTATCCTGGCCCCGCTCGCACGATGCCAACGCTTCCCAACGTCCCCAGGTGTGTGTCTTGGTATTCTTCGGGTTTCTAGTGGGAAGTTTTACTTGTGAATGGGGCATTTTTAGCAACAAAATGCATTTCCCGGGGGGAATCGACCTCCTGCTGGTAGGGGTGTGGGGGGGCATGACACAGACCCCCCCCCAAGGAGGAGTAGGTTCCCAATTAAGGCTTCTCCCACCTCCTGGAGGAGATCAGACCCACGTCCTGGTCTCCGACTGCAATCAAGAGGAGACACTCAGCTCAGGGGTTTCTCAGTATCCCCCCCACACACTTCAGGCCCTCAGTGGTGCTCACGGACCTCTGATAGCCAGTGATCAAACACGTCTGCATGAAACTAGGACCACTCCCTCTCCCACACCTCCCCCCCCAACACACACACACACACACACACACACACACACACACACACACACACACAGTATCAGGGTGACCCTCAGCCAAGCCGCGGCGGTCACGGGCTGTCTTTTGTTCCGGTGTTTCTAGCTCTCTAACTGGGGGAACAGGGAGGCTTGGCAGCACCCTGGTGATCCTGGCCTGGCCTGGGACCCCAGGCTGACCCCTGCCTGGGCCTCGTTGGCATGCTTCTCCCATTTTCTCTGGAAATCCTGTGGAATCTGCACTCTCCCCTGGCGCTCTGCCAGACGCGCTGATTTCCCTGGTTGACGGAGCAAAGCTCCTGCCACAGGCCTGGAGGCCGCTAGGACTGGCCTGTCACGGAACTCCCTGCCAAGGACTCTCTCTCTCTCTCTCTCTCTCTGGGTTCACTGGGGTCCCTCCGGACGCGGAGGGCTCCAAGGGGCAGCAGCCTGAGGGTCAGACAGATTCCCGGCAGTCCCCGGAAGGGGTTGACCTCTTGATGGGAACTAAAGGAAGCCTATGTTCATTTCGTGAGGCGAGGGGGGAAGGGGGCAGGGAGGGGAGAGTCTGTTTTGCACCAGAAAGTCTGGGGTGGTCCAGGAGACCCTAATCCCGCTCAGGGACCATGTTGAGACCCAGTACTCTCTCACACTGGGAAGATGCTAAGTGTAATCTAGCTAATCCGGGGTCCCTCGGTGCCCCTCTGCCGGGATCCCTTCCTAGAGCCCTTGTTTTGGGGGTCTTGCCTGCTCAGCCGGTTAAGAGCAAATTCCAGTCACTCCTTAATTGTTTCTGCCCCTTAGAAACTGAGGGTGACGTCTCTAGAGGGTCTCGATTCAAAGTGAGGCTCGGGCATCCCATGGGGTGTCTTTACCAGTAGATTTTCTAGAATGTTCCCTTCTGGTGCCACTGTTTGTCCCATTGGCTGACCAGAATTCCCCCCTACACACACACACACATCCCCTGGGGTCCCACAGAGCCCCTCATCGCCCTCCCACTTCCTCCCTGGACCAAGGCTCCCACTTTCAATTTTGCAAAGTTCCAAGGGGACAAACATCTCCTCCTGCCAATGGGGGCTCAGAGAGTCGAAATTTTCCTCGGCTTCGTTTTCGTCGGGGAGCCCGGGCAGAGCAGTTGCTCCGGGTCCCCCCTAATATATGCACCCGACCCCCCGCCTGAAGCCCCGTGATGTGTGTCCCAGAGAATGGGACGTAATAAACCTTGACATTTGGTTGCACGTGCTCCGGTGGTGATCACTCTGTGTGTGTGTGTGTGTGTGTGTGTGTGTGTGTGTTGCGTTTATAGTGAGAACCGCGGGGTGGGGCTAGCCAGTGGAAACTGGACATGTGACCCCCGACTCCCAGCTCAGGGGTCCAGGCTGAGAGTGGCAGGGGCGGCGTCCACACAGCAGGGAAGTCCTGGGTTGGGCCTTTATTGGCGCGTTCCCTGCCGGCCGGGCGTCCCCCCCCCCCGCCCCCCGTGTCTAGCTCTTGAGGCTCCTCCTGCCTTTCTCTTCATGCTTCTCGTCCAGCGCTTTCTGCAGGTTCATGTCCATGAGGTTTTTCTGGTGCCAGCGTCCTGCAGAGGGCGGGGAGCGACTCAGCCCCCATCACCAGAGGGTCTCGGCAACCCCCCTCCCCTGCGTGCATCCACCCTCGTCTCAGACCACCCGGGGGTCCCGGGTGCCCTTCTGGTTCCTCCTGGGGCCTGGGGGGGTGGTGTCCACCCTGCCCATGGGCGCTCCTCGCGCCCCACCTACCCAGGTCGTCTGTCTTCCTGCCGTGCCAGTGCTCGATGTCTCTCACCGATCTCTCGATCACCTCTGGGGTGTAGGAGGCTTTCATGAGACTCATCGCCTCCTGCGTGGCCCCTGTGGAACCCCAAGAAGAAAGTCCCAGTACCCCAAGTCAACAGAGAAGAGGCACTCCAGGGGTTATCCCTGTGTGCACTTCCCCTGTGGATGATGGACTAGGGGGTAGGGGGGCAGCAGAGAGGGGAGGAGGGCCCGAGGGGCCAGGGAAGAGGGGAGGAGGGCTCAGGAGGGCAGGGGAGAAGGGAGGAGGGCTCAGGAGGGCAGGGGAGAGGGGAGGAGGGCCCAGGAGGTAAGAGGAGTAGGGAGGAGGGCCCAGGAGGACAGGGGAGAAGGGAGGAGGTCCCAGGAGGGCAGGGGAGTGGGGAGAACGACCCAGGAGGGCAGGGGAGGGGGGGAGGGCACAGGAGGGCAGGGGAGTGGGGAGGAGGGCCCATGAGGACAGGGGAGAGGACAGGAGCTTTCAGGAGGGCAGGGGAGTGGGGAGAAGTATCCAGAAGGGAAGGGGAGAGGGGAGGAGGGCCCAGGAGGTAAGAGAAGTGGGGAGGAGGACCCAGGAGGACAGGGGAAAGGGGAGGAGAGCCCAGGAGGGAAGGGGAGTTTGGAGGAGGGCCCAGGAGGACAGGGGAGAGGGGAGGAGAGCCCAGGAGGGCAGGGTAGTGGGGAGGAGGGCTCAGGAGGGCATGGGAGAGGGGAGGAGGGCCCAGGAGGGCAGGGGAGAGGGGAGGAGGGCCCAGGAGGGTAAAGGAGAGGGGAGAAGGGCCCAGGAGGGCAGGGTAGTGGGAAGGAGGGCTCAGGAGGGCAGGGGAGAGGGGAGGAGGGCCCAGGAGGGCAGTCCTGTACTCAGACCCCAGCAGCAATGTGTATAGGCAGTTTGGCCTCAGACAAGCTCGGAGCCTCTCAAAGCTCCTGTCTTGGCTTTTCAGGGGAAGGGAATGACCTTACACAGTCGGGAGCACCTGGCGTGTTCTCATCAATGATCTTGTTTCAGGAAATTGACCTCTTTGTGTCAAGTACACACACACACACACACACACACACACATACACACACCTCCCAGAGACAGAGGACATCAGTGGACCAAATCCCACAAGACAGCAAAGATCCAAACATTCCAGAATACGAAACAGAGGTCGTGCTTGAAACCGTCACATTAGAGTATCAGCAATGATGAAACAACTGCCCGGTGGGCCCAAAGCAGCAGAGCAGTGCAACAACGGAGAGGGCGTTTGCCTGACATGTGACCAACCCAGGTTTGATCCCCTGAGCATTGTCAGAAGTAACTCCTGAGTGCAGAGCCAGGAGTAAGCCCTGAGCATCACCAAGTGTGACCCAAAAAGCCGAGAGAGAGAGAGAGAGAGAGAGAGAGAGAGAGAGAAAGAGAGAGAGAGAGAAATTTCCCAGAGCTAACCGTAATTTCAGAGACACATAGGATTTCAAAAACGAAGCATATCACCATGAAAAGTTCAGTTCATGGGACAGTAAGAGGTTTGGGGTTTGCTTTGAAAGAACTGGGACAGGGGCTGGAGTGATAGCACAGCGGGTAGGGCATTTGCCTTGCAGGCGGCCAACACGGGTTTGATTCCCAGCATCCCATATGGTCCCATGAGCACCACCAGGAGTAATTCCTGAGTGCAGAGCCAGGAGCAACCCCTAAGCATCGCCAGGTGTGACCCAAAAAGAAAAAAAAAAGATCAATGTCTAGTTTATGGTATGAAATGAGGAGGAGGAGGAGGAGGAGGAGGAAGAGGAGGAGGAGGGAGGAGGAGAAGTGTGGTTGTGAAGATGAGGATAGTGAAGATGATGATGATGATAATGAAGAAAGGTAATAAGTTTGTGAAGATAGGCCACGAATTGAGGGGTTATCAGAGCTTCCAGAACTTTCTGGTCACCTCCATCAGAAGCAGGGGTGAGTATGAGCCTCATCTGATGGGTGGAGTCACAGAAACACACACAAAAAAAAGCGAAGTCATTTCTCCAAGATCACGGAGCCTGTGAACTTAAATCTTAGACACACTATAGGCCCAGAATCCACTGTTTAAACAACTTATTTGCACAGAACTAGAATTCTGTTTACACAGAACTAGAGTTCTGTTAAACAATAACATGTAAGCTGAGATGGGTCTGGGAGAATCAAGGTGAAAACGTTGAAGATCCATTGTTTCTGAAGAGCTTAAGTAACTGCTAAACTTTTGGATCAGTGCATTGTGCAGCGAGAAATGTCACAGGTAAAAACTCACACCACACCAGGATTAAAGACAAACAGTGGCCAGAAACGAAGGAAGTACCCAGAAATCCCAAACACATAAGCCGGGGAGGGAGAGAGCAACCTAGAAAACGCAGTGGACATCAAAATCACCAAAAAAGGCCACCGTTAGAATAACCCCCAATATTTTGATGATGAGAATGAAAAGGAATGAACTAAGGCCATGAACTAAAAAGGGATGATTAGACTATGAGAAATCTGCATTTCCGCATCTATTTTTTTTTTGGCTTTTTGGATCACACCTGGCGACGCACAGGGGTTACTTCTGGCCCTGCACTCAGGAATCAGCCCTGGCAGTGCTCAGGGGACCATATGGGATGCTGGGAATCGAACCTGGGTTGACTGCGTGCAAGGGAAACGCCCTACCCGCTGTGCTAAGATGCATATTTTTTGAAGCTTTTGTTGTTTTTGTTGTTTTGGGGTCACACCCAGCAGAGCTCAGGGCTTACTCCTGACTCTGTGTGCTCAAGGATCACTCTCAGCAGGTTTAGGGGACCAGGTGGGATGCCAGGGATCAAACCCACGTTGGTCACATGTAAGGCAAACACCCTTCCTGCTATACTATCACTCTGCCCCCATATTTGAAGCATTATTTTTAATTTATTTTTATCTTTATTTTTTGCTTTTTGGGTTGGGCTGGAGCAGTAGCACAGTGGTAAGGCGTTTGCCTTGTGCCCAGCTGGCCCCGCCAAGCGGGTTCAATTCTTCCACCCCTCTCGGAGAGCCGGGCAAGCTACCGAGAGTATCTCGCCCACACGGCAAAGCCTGGCAAGCTCCCCGTGACATATTCAATATGCCAAACACAGCAACAGAAGTCTCACAATGGAGAAGTTACTGGGCCCGCTCAAGCAAATCGATGAACAACGGGAGGACAGTGCTACAGTGCTTTTTGGGTCTCATCCAGTGATGCTCAGGGGTTCCCCCTGGCTCGACACTCAGGAATTATTCCTGGCGGTGCTCAGGGGACCCTATGGGATTGCTGGGAATCTAACCCGGGCCGGCCTTGTGCAAGGCAAATACTTCACCCACTGTGCTATCGTTCTGGCCCTTTGAAACATTCTTAAAACAGGAGCTCGGTGGCCTTGTGTGCACACCCCACTCCCACCCCAGTTCCTGGTACCACTCTGCGTCCTCCATTGCAATCTCAGCATCTCTAGACAGCGTGCCCCATCACCTCGTCACGCAAAAGCGTGTGCTCTTTGGTACCTCACGCACGTGCAAGCCCCACACCTGACTGTGGACGAACTTCTCCCGGGAGATCAACCCCCAGACATGACAGCCAGAACAGAAAAGGCAAGAGAAGGGAAGGAGAATCAAAACAAATAGCGAAAGCATCCTTGACACAAAAAAGAAGCAGGTTCACGCGGAAGTGTCTTTTAGAAGCTTTGGTTTGTGCAACGCCGAGAATCGAACGCAGGTCCTCACTCACTCAAGAGAAGTTCTGGCAGGGGCTGGAGAGATAGCACAGCGGGGAGGGCGTTTGCCTTGCACGCGGCCAACCAGGGTTCGATTCCCAGCATCCCATATGGTCCCCTGAGCACCACCAGGACTAACTCCTGAGTGCAGAGCCAGGAGTAACTCCTGTGCATCGCCAGGTGTGACCCAAAAAGCAGCAAAAAAAAAAAAAAAGGAAGTTCTGGCAGCCACGGAGCTACATTCCCAGCCAGAATGTGGGGAGAGTTTTCTGGTATAACCAGAAGCAAACTGGGCCCTCTCTAGGGTTGGGAGACAAAAAGGAGAACGGACTCAGAGAGGAGAAAGCATCTGCAGGAATCTCGGGTGAGATGCTGGTTCTAAAACTTGCTCCCCTAGGGGGCTGGAGCGATAGCACACTGAGTAGGGCCAACCCGGGTTCGATTCCCAGCATCTCATAAGGTCCCTTGAGCACTGCCAGGGATACTTCCTGAGTGCAGAGCCAGGAGTAACCCCTGTGCATCGCCAGGTGTGACCCAAAAAGCAAAATAAATAAATAAATAAAACTTGCCCCCCTTGAAAGAGTCCCCAGGTTGGTAAAAACTTTTTTTTAAGTTTTTGATATTTGTTATATTTGTTTATGCTTTTTTTTTTTTTTTTTGCTTTTTGGGTCACACCCAGCAATGCTCAGGGATTACTCCTGGCTCTGCACTCAGGAATCACTCCCAGCAGTGCTCAGGGGACCATAGGGGATGCTGGGAATCGAACATTGGTGGAGGGAAGTTGGTTGACACCGGTAGTGGCATCAGTGCTGCTCTCTTTCTTGTATGTCTAAAACTCAACTATAAATCACAGCACTTTAATAAAAATAAATAAATAAGCTTAATGCTTTCTTTTTTTTCTTTTTGGGTCACACCCAGCGATGTTCAGGGGTTCCTCCTGGCTCTGCACTCAGGAATTACTCCTGGCGGTGCTCAGGGGACCCTATGGGATTCCAGGGATCGAACCTGGGTCGGCCTCGTGCAAGGCAAACTCCCTCCTCGCTGTACTATTGCTCCAGCCCTCTTAAAGTAATTTTTAAATAAATACTGCTTACAATAAACAGAAAAAAAAATACCACCCAAAACTCTAAGTCCTCCAGAAATAGAACTGAAACCCATGCAACCTCCATGTAAAAGTTACAAACTGTTATCGTCATATAGTACAGGGAAAATTGATTGACTTTGGTTTGGGGACACAGTTGGAAGCTCTCAGGTGCTACTCCTGGCACTGTGCTCAGTAGTGACCGCTGGAAGTGCTCAGGGGACCATATTTGGTGCCAGAGATTCGCATTTTTTTGGCCAGGCCACACACAAGGCAAGTGTTCTCTCTCTCCCCGGCCTTCGAGAGATGATTTATGTTAATAGGGCTGCTGTCACTGTCACTGTCGTCCCCTTGTTCATCGATTTGCTTGAGCGGGCCCAGTAACGTCCCCATCATGAGACTTGTTACTGTTTTTGGCATCTCAAGTACATCACGGGTAGCTTGCCAGGCTCTGCCGTGCGGGCGAGATATTGTCGGTAGCTTGCTGGGCTCTCTGAGAGGGGCGGAGGAATCGAACCCGGCTCGGCCGGGCTGGCTGCGCACAAGGCAAACGCCGTACGGCTATGCTATTGCTCCAGCCCAATAGGGCTGCATAAAAATTAAATTCAGGGAGCTGCATCCCACTTTCGTGGGTTCTAAAGCTTATTGCTGGAAAGCTGACAAGCTCCTTAAACTGAGTGCGCAACTCAAGGCAAATTCCAATTAAAATCCTAATCAAAATTCCATCCAAAGGCTGGGTTTTTCATGGGAATGGACTAAAATTTAGTACACGAAAGAAGAAAAGACTTGAAAGAGTCAGAGCCTTCAGTGGTGAGGAGAGAGTGTGCCCAGCTAACATCAGGTACTTCTAAGCTCCTGGTGATTAAGAGTGTAATTCAGACGTGTGGATCCGGTCAGACCCCTAGGACCTCAGCTGGCCCTGGGTGGGGAGTGAGCTTCAATAAGAGATAGCAATCCGACATGCCATCACCATGCCGCTGGACGCATTGCCAGGCTGTTTCATTCGGGGCACCCTGGAGGGGGGCAGGTGAGACCCCTCCCCACCCCAAGGGACCCAGTTCCAGCAGCCAAAAACCTCCAGAACTCAACCACTGCCATGCTCACGGCCACTCTCCACACACTCGGGCCGAGCCTCACCCACGAGTGAACCTATTCCCGGACCACGTGACCACATTTGTGGCCACAACACAACTCTGACCTCACACCACCTATACTCCAAGAGTACTGCACCACTTTTGATGGGGTTTAAAATAGAAGGCAACCAATCTTAGAGGGAAATAATTTTTTACAGATATGTATATATATGTACATATATATGTATATATATATATATATATGTTGGGAAGGATGCATAAGGAGAGGCTGCTAAAATCTCAGGACTGGGACAAATGGAGACGTTACTGGCACCCACTCGAGTAAATCAATGAACAACGGGATGACATTGATACAGTGATACAGTGATCTATATAAGCGCACAAGTCTCCACCTTTAACAACATGTTACTGATCTCTTATAGAAGGGCTTAATGGCATCTGAGTGAAATACAACAATCTTTACACTCTTTCCCCTAAGGGAACTATTTTTGTAGCATTTTCAGCGATTTTTCATAACAATACAAAATTATTTCGGTTCTGCTTCAGGTCAGGGGTTGGGGTTCAGGATGGAAACATCCGAAATATGTTGGTGGGAAGGTGTCATGGTGGTGGGATTGGTGTTCGAATATTAAATGTAATCAAATATTGTGAGCTACTTTATAAAATAAAATATTAAAAATCAAAAAATAAAAATAAAGGTTTTTTTCCCTGAAAAATAAAAAATAAAAACTATAGAAATTTTTAAAAAGAAAACGTCTTAAGATACAAATATAGAATTAAAAAAAAAAAGATAGTGATCCCTGTAAAGGAGGAATTAAAAGGGAATCTGATTCACGCGAAACCAGAAATCCACGCCCGGTAGATTAGCAACTTCAATGTGAAAAGCAAACCAAGTGTTTTGGGAGACTCTTTAAGAGATTATCCCTCTGACTCAGCACGGAGTAGGATTTCTTCCCCCACCCCTCCTCCCTTCTGGAACCTTCCCTCCCTCTCAAAACAGTCCTCTCCTGCCAGTTTGCAGGTCAGCCTCCACGCCCCATGCACACGCCCCTGATCCAGTGGCTGGCCTGTTTTTTCAGCGTTGCACAAACACCCAATACCCCCTTAGGCCAGGCGACTACCTGGGCATCACAGCGCTGGCCTTCGTAGTGGTCATCAGTCCCACCTCGCAGCATGCCTGCCTGCCAAACGCCTCTAGCCACCTCCTCCCTGCCCCCCCCCTCGTTCCTGTCCCCAAGCCCCCACATCTACATTCAGGATAATTCTCTCTCCTTAACCTAACAACGCCCTGCTGTCCTCCACTGGCCCACCCCACCCCACCCGGGGCTTCCCTCCCCCTAAGTCTCCCAGGACGGTCTGTTCCCGTGGTTCCCTCAACCTCACCCCCATCCCACCCTGAGCCCCTCCCCAACCTTCCCAGCCTGAGCAGGAGGGTGCAGCCTTTGCCACTGTCCCCAAGGTCAGGACCCTGCTGCCCAGGCTAAAAGAGCGTCCGGTTGCCAGGTCACCAGGAAACCCCAACCCTTTGCTCAGGAGCCGGTGCTGGGTGACCAGCCCACCCACCCTCAGCCCAGGCTCAGATGTCTGTCTCCCTCCCAGCCTGCAGGAGGTTAACCCCACAGAGCTGTAGGTGAGAGGGGAGACCAGAAGATGAAGAGGAGGAGGATGGGGAGGGAGGAGGAAAGAGGAGGAAGAGAAAGAAGAGGAGGAGGAGGAGGGAGAGGAGAAGAAGAGAGAAGGCGAAGGAGGAGGAAGAGGAGGAAGAGGAGGAATAGACAGAGAAGGAGGAAAGGAGGAGAAAACTTTCACGCTCACTCTTTTGTACTCTCTCTCGTCTTCTCTCTCCTCTCTCTGACTCTCCTCTCTTCTCTCTCTCTCTCTCTCTCTCTCTCTCTCTCTCTCTCTCTCTCTCTCTCTCTCTCTCTCTCCTCCTTCCTCCCTGCACCTTGCCGCGTTCCCCATTCTCTGCCCTCTTCACCTACGCCAAGGCAGATGGCGGAACCAGGCAGGGCTCACATGCCCGGACAGTGACAAGGTACAGACTCAGAGATCTCAGCCATGCTCAGACCACGGGCAGGGATGAAGGGAAACTGGGAGGACAGGGGACAACCGGGGACAGTCTGAGTGACGCCCAGGTACAGGTCACAGGGCAACAGACCCAAGCCACGAGCCATGGGTGACAGCTGGACATATTCCACACTAAGGAGAGAACAGCCAGGGGACAGGACCATCATCCTACACGAGAGGCATCCGGGACCAGAGCGAGACAAGCGGGCGTCGTCACACCCAGAAGCCAAGCCCTCTCCAAACTGGGTAACAGACTCCAACTCTGTGTGCAAACCTTTCGCTCAACTCTCAAGAACCCACAGCCTAGGCGTCAGAGCGATAGCACATCAGGTGGGGCATTTGCCTTGCATGCGGCCAACCCGACTTCAATCCCCAGCATCCCATAGGGTCTCCCGAGCACCGCCAAGAGTGATTCCTGAGTGCAAAGCCAGGAGGAACCCCTGAGCTTCACCGAGTATGACCCAAAAAGCAAAAACAAACAAACAAAAAGAACCCACAGCATCAGCAAAATCCACTTTCACACCAACAGTGATGCAGTTCCTGGGGTAAGGTCTGGGGACCAGGGGGACGAGGCCCGGGGTGGCATCTGGAGATGGTCCACCCTGGGCGGGAGGGGAGGGGCAAAACCTTGCCTTGGGCATGAGGTGCCACGGGAGGAAGGAGTGGGCAGAGAGAAGCCCCAACTTGCTGACCGGGAACCCCCAGCCCAGAAATCTTTTTGGTTCACAGCTGGCCAGGGGGGCATTGGGGTGTCAGTGATGGTTGAAGGCCATGGGGTCTGGGGGGCAGAAGGAAAGGATGAATTTGGACTCAGCACATCCTACCAGGGGGCTCATGCTGTCCCATCTCTCTGTGAGCTGGGCGTCACAGAGTGTCCCAAGACAGACTGACGACAGCAGATGGGCAGGGCACCCTGAATGCCCATCTCTGTCCCCCTTCCCAGAAGGTGCACCACTAGGCAGTGGAAAGAGAGAGAGACGCCCTTGGGCATAGACTTGGTGTCCAGAAGAGTGCCTCCACGCACACTTCCCAGAGACCCGTTGGCAAGCAGGATTGTGGGGGAAAATCTTCCCCACCGACCACAGACTTGCTGACCACGGAGGCCAAGGACCCCACTTAAGGCTGCACCCAGGACATGTCTGAGTTGATCCCCAGTCCCAGCAGGACGGAAGTGCCCGCCCTGACCAATGCCTGGGCCCGGCGGCTGTGCCCACTGGGGCGACGGTCTGTACAGAGAGCACAGACCAGCCAGGACATCACACCCTCAACCGGGACCCCACAGAGGCAGCCCACGGGAGCGAAGTGAGCATCCCCGGCCCTCAATCTCCCCTGCCCTGGGCCCCACCTTGAAACAGGTTTGACCGAGAGTGGTAACCCAAGTCGTAGTAGTCTGCGTAGCTGGGGGACCCTGGCACCGAGCCCTGGGGCCTGCCAAGCCGCGAGTTAGCGTTCTTCTGCCCCTCCAGGGCATCGCTGAGGGCCTTTTGAGCCTGGGAGGGGGAAACAGAGGCAGAGGAGCAGGGTCAGGCGCTGCTGTCTCCTCTGAAAGTCCCCCCGGCCCTGCCCTGGTGACTCCCACCAAGCCCGGGGACGTGCCCCCCTGTGAGTACTGGCAGCCGCTGTCCAAACCCGTCAGGAAAGGTCTTTCCAAAGCAACATGTGCCCAGGCAGGAGAGACAGCACAGAGCGGAGGGCGTTTGCCTTGCCCGCGGCCAACCCGGGTTAGATCCCTGTAACACCCTTCGAGCACCGCTTGGAGAGACGCCAGAGCCAGGAGTAAGCCCTGAGCGTTGCCAGGTGCAGCTCAAAAGCCAAAAGAATAAAACAGGCCAGTTCCTGCTGCCTTGGTTTGTTTTGTTGGAGGGTGGGGTCACACCCAGCAGTGCTCAGGGCTTCCTCCGGGCTCTGTGCTCAGTGGGTCAAACCCGGGTCATCCGCGTGCAAGGCCAGCACCCTCCCCTCGGTCCTGTGATTCATGCCTCTCTCACGATGTTATTTTTTTTTATTATCTTTTTATCTAGGAGTACTGCTATTTATTCAGTCATTGATTAGGCTGATTGAATTGTGCATGAACTCCACCTTACTTTTTTTTTTTCCATTTTTTATAATTTTATTTATTGAATCACCATGACAGCAGTTACAAAGCTTTCGGGTTTAAGTCTCGGTCATACAATGAAACACCCGTACCTTCAGCAGTGCCCATTCTCCACCACCAAAATCCCCAGTCTACCCCCATCCCACACCCTCCCCCTACCTGTGGGGCAGATGATTTCCAAATTACTCTCTCTATACTTTGATTACATTCAGCATTTCAATGCCACACCCACCATTATTATTTGGGATTTTACCCCAACACTCAGATCTGCCGAGAAGGCTACAGTAGACAATTTGTTTTCTATTGCTGGTTATGAATAACATATGATGTCGCGTGGCTGCAGTAGTGGCCACACGATTTTGAAATTCCGAAATTTTAACAAGCAAATCTGGAGGGATTTCTTGCCAAAACCTGCTGGGTTCCGAGATTTGTTCCTGAGTCTCTGGGATCATGGCCGTTAAGCAGCTTGATCAGGAGCCAGAGAGACCATTCGTGGGCGGTGACTCGGGGTCTCGTTGGGGTGGGGAGGAAAGGGCCAGCTCCACCCCCATCCCATGAGGCCCCGCGTCTCACCATGTTTTTAATTAGACCCTCAGGACAGGGATTCGCGGGTTCTCATAGTGGTGGGGACCCCCACAGCCCGGACCGGCTCCGGGAGACTCCTTTGATTTTGCCAGGGCCAACTCTCTCCTTGCATATAAATGGAGAAACTGAGGCCAGAGTGGTTGAAGCCACGCCTAGAAGCTAGAAAATCCGGGTGTGCCCCCAAAGCTGCAAATGTGAGATAGGTCTCTCTTCCTCTCTCGGCCTGTCCCCTGACTTGGCAGATGGGCTGGGTTTTGTTTACTTGGTGTTTGGGTCATTCCAGCAGTGCTCAAGGCTGACTCCTGGCTCTGTGCTCAGGGATCACTCCTGTCCTGGTGGGGCTCAGGGGACAGTATGTGGAGCTGGGGATCGAGCCCAGGTCGGTCACGTGCAAGGCCAGCTCATTGTGCTGTCTCTCCAGCCCTGCAGATGAGTCCTTATGAGATCATCAGAGGGAAAACTCAACAAGAGCACAGAATTTGCATGGTGGAGTTCCAATTTCAATCCCCAGCACCATGTATACCCCTGAGCACCACTGGAAGTGACCCCATAGTACAAAACCAGGAGTAGCCACACTCCCAGGTGTGACTCAAAACAAAAAAATTTGGAAGTGAATATTGAAAGAAAAGTTGTTTCCTGTTATGTAACATAGTAAGTGGTCAATAAAACCACAACGATGCGATGTGACCTAGTAAGTGCTCAATAAACACCACAAGCAATGCTATCACTTCAGGAAAGTTGGAAGCACCCCAGGAGTACTCAAGAGCAGATTCATAGGTGTTTGGGGGGGGGCATCATTTAAAGTCCTCACACACAATGCCCCTCAGCTCTTCAACCCTGAGCCCAGATCACTCACCTGCTTCTCCGATACCATCTGGTCCACTATGCTGCTCCCAAACTTATGGCGAATGTTTTCAGGAATGACACTGGGCCTCTGGCTGACGGGTGGGCTGCCGGGTTCCTCCGCCAGACCCCCACACGTCTGAGCCCCCTCACGGGAGCCGGGGTGGCTCTCCGTGGAAGAGGGTCTGTGGTCCCCCTTCTTCAGGGCCTCCGGCTGCGGGTCCGAGCCAGGGTTGAGGCAGGTGGAGGCCCTCGAGGGCGGGAATGAGACCTGATCCGGGGGCGTCTGCCCCACGGGGCTGTCTCGGCCGCTGCCCGGCCCACACAGGAAGGAGCTGGGGGCCGGGGACTTGAGCTTGGAGGCGTCCAAGGGGCTGCAGGTCCTGCCCCAGGCCTCCACATCCTGCCGGCCTTCCTTGCCGCCCCGACAGGGCCTGGTCAGAGTGGTCGTGCCTGTCACAGAGCAGAGGGGCAGGGAGGGAGGGAGGACGGTCGGAAAAAGACAGGTGGGCAGCGGCCGGGGGAGAATGGACAGGAAGGACGGGCCCAGAGCCCCAGGGGGCCAGAGTGGCAGTACAGCCTGGCCCTCATCGGACTCGATCCCCAGCACCCCACATGGCCCTCGAGCCCTGCCAGGAGTGATCCCCAAATCCAGAGTCAGGAGTCACCCCTGAGCACCACCAGGTGTGGCCCAAAAAACAAAGGGGAAAACCACGGGGGTGGGACTCCCTGGCGCAGGACACCCCTCGATGGTTCTGATTTTGCCGTCCAGCCTGGCCTCATCTGACCTTGAGGATGGATGAGTGACCTTGAGCCGGGGTCTGCCGCTCTAGGTTAGCGCCCTCTGACCCTGAACCCCAAACGAGGGGACCCAGGGGCCAGGGTGGGGCGCGGCCAAGGGGGCTGGAAAATCCAAGTGTAGGACCCAGACATCCCTGCTCCCCACCCAGACCCTCCCCCACGCCCCCCCATTCTCAGGGGTCCAGACTGGGGGTCTCCTGCTGCTTGTGTGTGATGCTCCCCCTCGCTCCCTCCGCCCTCCACGGCTTCCTGAGGCCCATCTTTGCCTGGTCCAGCTCCCGGGAATCCCAGGCCCCCACCTCCCTTTCTCCCAAGTCTTAACGCCTCTGCCGTGCTCCAGGGAAGGATGAAACTCCCTGATGCAGGCCCTTCCCCTGACTCACAGCCCCCAACACAAACCCTCACACACATCACACACACACACCACACACACCCCATAAACACACTACACAAATACACCCCCCACACACCACACACACATGCCACACACACCCACACACAAACGACACAATGCCCACATATAAACCACACAAACCACATAACACCCACAAACAAACCACACAAACCACATAACACCCACAAACAAACCACACACACGTTCTCTACACATATATACCCCCATACACACCACACACCCACATAAACCACACACACACCACACACACCACACACATCCCACACATACATACCATACCACACACCTACACAAACCACACAACACCACACAAAACACATACACATGCACACACTCTACACATATACACCCCACACACACCACCCACAGCACACACACACACCACACACACACACATACCACACACACACACACACCCCACAGCCCGGACAGTGATGACATTTCCCATCCAGCATCTTTGTTGGCTACACAAAAGGCGGAAGGAAAACCTCCTTCCCCAGGTGACCCTCCCAGAACCTTCGGCCCTCTTGGCTCTGTTCCCATCCCGAAACCAGGCGGCCAGGCCTGGAGCACCCCAGGGCAGGCGAATCAGCCCGAAGAAGACAACCATCACCTGCCCAGGAAAGCTCAGCCCTGCGCCGGAAGGTTCTCGTCAGCCCACCCATGTGCGGGGTCCGCCCCCCCCCCCCACTGCCCCCTGCCTGGCTCTGAGCTAATACGTGAAACCAACGTGATTGAGCAACAATGACTGGGGGTCCGTGCAGTGCCTGGTCCTCGGGGAGTGAGTGAGTGAGTGAGTGACTGAGTGAATGAACGCAGAGACCCCCACGGCAGTGCCCACCCTGCCTGCCCCCTCCCGCTGAGGCCCTGGCACCTCTCCACCTCCCCCCCCCCCCCCGCAGCTGTGGCAGAGAAGGACCAGGCGTCAGAGGCCTCCGGGCTGGGCCGCCAGCAGAAATGCAGATTCCCAGGTCCTTCCTGGGCTTGACCCCAAGCAAGAGGAGAGTCCAGGAGGCTCGAATTTGATTGACAAGGAGGCCCCCGGGCCACTCAGATTAGGGAGGAAACTGCCCACAGGGGCCTGGTTCCAGCTCCCACACCCCACGCACCGCCAATGTCCACCACTGTCCTACGGCTCTTGGGCCCCTGCCCCCAGTTGGCCTCAAGGTCGCTCCTGGCCTGAATGCCTGCCTTTGTCCTCAGCGGGGCCGGCCTCCCCCCCACGCCCCCGCCCCCCCACGCCTCAACCACCCCCTCCAGTTCTCAAGCTAAACAGAATTCCATTCCTGGCCTCCAAAACCACAGCCTCACCCTTCTCGACCTTTGCCCAGACCATGCCTTGGCCTGGAACATTCTTTTCCCCACTCCTGGCTCACTCAGGACCCAGGTGTGCCAAAATCCCATCCTCCCCTCCGCCCCCGCCCGCCTCACCCCTGCACGTGAGGGTCACTGCAGCCCCTCTGGGCCCCCAGAGACCAGACTGTCATGGGGTGGGGAACCCCAACCTGGCAGAGGGAAGGGGGTAGGCAGTGTCCATTGTGACGTTCTCTGTCTACAGGCCAGAGGTGATCCCCGCTCCGACAGAAGAGGGCTGGGGGGGGGGGCATGAGGCTATCCCCCTGCACCCTGGGATTCCCTATCCCCTCCCCTACAGAGCCTCAGGGTGGGACCCTGCTCAGGGCCATCCTACCTGCCTGACGCCCCAACTCCATGGACGCGCGCTCTGGGCACCTCACTCAGGTCCAAGAGGTCCTGTGGAGAGGAAAACACAGTCTGTGTCTCAGAAGACACAGGGGGCAGGGGGTGCTGGGTCGCAGAACGGGGAGCCTGGCCATCGGCACAGCCTGACCAGGGGCTCCCCAGGCTGCGGCCAGTCCCTTTCCCTGCACCCCTGTCTGCTCTGGAAAACGCCCATCACCCCACACACACCCCAAGCAGCTCCAGGGCATCGGGGCTCTCCACCTCCTTCATCATTAATTCTTTTCATACTTTGGCCCCCTCTGTGAGTCCGAGTTAGTTATGGGGTACATCTCCCCTGAGTCCCCCCATCCTGGGGACTGTCATCCTCTCCCCACAAAGATGATCTTGTCCATTTCACTAAAAGATCCTGAAAGCTCAGGGGAAGTAACCCCCGTGGCCAGCACGGAGGAGGTGGCAGGCAGTGATTGGCAACAAGCCGCCTGATTGTCCAAACCGGCTTTTGAGTGGACGGCGAGGGGCACCGCTGGCCCCTTCAAATGCCCCAGCAGCCTGTACACGTGCCCTCTCCCTCCAGGGGCAGAGAAGGCCATTTCTCTCTCTCATTTTCTTCTTTTATCGCCATTTTTTTTTTAGTCTTGCGCTAGGATCCGTTTATTAGCTATTTCCTGTGGGGCTAACCTGCGCATCGCATCGGCCAGTGTGGGTCCCAGCTCTCCATGGTGGCCCCCAGCCCCCATCACAGACCCTGGCTGTGACCAGCTTGGGTCTCTGGGCGTGTGTGAGACAGCGCTGGGTGTTTGCAGGACCACAGACTCCCCCGAACAAGCTTATCTGGGAGCGCGGCAATGCTGGACGCAGAGACACAGTGTAGCCAAGACTGGGGACATCTCTGAGCTAACTTTGCACAAAGGCATCTTTGAAATTAGTCCATCTGCCTTTTTTTTTTATGGCTTTGTTTTGTTTTGTTTTGTTTTTGCTTTTTGGGTCACACCCGGCGATGCTCAGGGGTTACTCCTGGCTCTGCACTCAGGAATCACTCCTAGCAGTGCTCAGGGGACCATATGGGAAGCTGGGAATCGAGCCTGTGTTGGCCGCGTGCAAGGCAAACGCCCTCCCCGCTGTGCTATTGCTCCAGCCCCTGTGTTTTTCTTAAGTACAGGGTGTTTTTTGTTTTGGTTTGGTTTTGGATTTTGTTCGGTTTTCAAGTCACACATCCGGCAGTGCTCTCGGCTCCGCACTCAGGGATCGCTCCCGTATGCCGTATGCTGGGAAATGGCAACAGATGAGCCCTATGCAAGGCAAGCACCATCCCCCACTGTGATATCTCTGGGGTCCAAAGCACACCAGTGAGTTTTGGGGTCCTTCATCAAGGCTGAGAGAGCGCGCCAAAGCCACCCAATATTAATCTAGCGGGTTCATCCGACTTCACGACGATGCCGCGAAAATCTTGTTCAGAGGAGGCAGGATGAACTCGCCCCCTCTCGCACACTGGGAAACTGAGGCTCGGGGCAGAAATTGGGCCTCCTTCTGGGGAGGCTGAAACCCAGCTCCCCCCACCCCGTTTCCTCCAGGGAGCTTTCTGCTCCTCCCCTCACTCTCCCCATCCTCACCCCCCCTTCCGCCTGCCCGTGGCACTCGCGCCCACCGCCCCCGCCCCCCACCCACACACCCGGGTGACAGTAAAGTCGAGTGATGCTCGGCCAGTGTCCGACCTGGAAGGAAAGAGGCCGAGAGGCGTCGTCCCGGCCGGCGTGGAAGGAGGCCCGGGTGCTCACACAGCCTGCGGGAAGAGAGGGATGGAGACCGGGCCCGGCTGCGACCCCCCCAACCCCCACCCGGCCTCGGAGACCCCCTCTACCTCTCCACTCTCTTTCAGAGCATCAGGCGTGAGCTGAAGCCCAGGGGCAGCGGCCACTGCTGCCAGCGGCCTGAGACGGAGCAGGGATGCTCACTGGGGTCACCAGGGCAACTACGGAACCTGCCCTCTGTGACCTCAGAGGGTCTCCGAGCGGGGCAAGCCAGGGCAGGGGAGGGGAGGGGGGCACTGTCGTCTCTCTGTCCTCACCGGAAATGCCCTCTGAGCTGCCAGCAGCAGAGCACAGAGACCGGAAGTTCTGGGGACGGCTGGGAACAAGGAGATGGTTTGTTAGCTTGTTTTGTTTGTTTGGGGCCTGACCCGGTGGTGCTCAGGGATCACTCCTGGCAGGGTTCAGGGACCATGTGCGGTGCCAGGGTCAAACCTGGGTTGGCAGCGTGCAAGGCAAGCGCCCTGCCCGCTGTACTCTCCCTCCGGCCCCAGGAGAAGGCTTTATTGCACACATGGAAGGTGAAGCCCAGGTTCCGGGGAGTCAGTTGAGGGAGGGGTGCGTTGGAGTTGGGCCTTTCAGAGGGGACTTGAGCACTGTAGGTCCAGAAGTGGGCCTGAGAGACAGGACAGAGGGAGGCAGGGCATTTTGGCCTTGCATACCACTGACCAGGGCTCGATTCCTCACACCCCATAGGGTCCCCCGAGCCCCGCCAGGAGTGATCCCTGAGTGCCCAGCCAGGAGTCAGCCCCCAAGCACTGGGGCCCAAAAAACCAGAGCAAAAGGTCCATTCAGGGGGCTGGAGCAAAGAGATAGCACAGTGGGTAGGGCATTTGCCTTGCACGCGGCCAACCCGGGTTCGAGTCCCAGCATCCCATATGATTCCCCCAGCACTGCCAGGAGTGATTCCTGAGTGCAGAGCCAGGAGGAACCCCTGAGCGTCACCAGGTGTGACCCAAAAAGCAAAAAAAAAAAAAAAAAGTCCATTCAGGTGTATGAGCAGAAACGTAGGTGAGGAGCGAAGAAGAGCTGAAGTGTGGGTTGGGGTGAGGGTGGGGTGGGGTGAGCGGCCCCAGGGGGCCCGTGGAGGGACCCTGGAGCACAGGCCTGGGAGAAGACTTAGAGCGGCGTGGGACGCCCCAATCTCTTTTTTTTTTTTTTTTTTTGCTTTTTTTTGGTCACACCCGGCGATGCTCAGGGGTTCCTCCTGCCTCTGCACTCAGGAATTATTCCTGGCGGTGCTCGGGGGGACCCTATGGGATGCCGGGAATCAAACCCAGGTCGGTCGCGTGCAAGACAAATGCCCTCCCCGCTGTGCTATTGCTCCAGCCCCCAAGTCTGATCTCTTCGCCCTTGACCCCAAAGGTGTCAAAGGCTGGAGGATGATCCCAGCCAAGCACCTTCTACAGCGAGCGTCAGCTCAAACCTGCTTGTCGGCCAGACTTGGGGGGTCTTCGGAAGAGCCCGGGAGCATTGGGATGAAACTCCCAGGCCCCAGCTTCTGGGTCTGCTGTTCAGGAGAGGAGCGACTTTGGCCAAATTCTTGAGCAAAAGCTCAGAGCCAGGGGAGGGGCAGGGAAGCTGCGTCTATGGGACCCCTCCTCCTCTTGGCCGGGCCCAGAGAGCGTGGCCAGGCCCGTGTCTCAGCACCCTGCATCCCAGGCACGGCGCAGGCATGGGACAACAGTGCTCCTTCCGAGAGGGGGCCCTCCGGGGGGGTCTTAGGAATCAGGAGAGGGAAAGACGAGGCCAGGCAGGAACTCGGACTGAGACAGAGGCAATCATGCACCGCTACTGACAAAAAGGCATTTATTCTGGGGCTCTGGGGGGCATGGGGTGGGGGGGTGGAGGGGGGTTCAGGGCTTTGCACAGCGATACTGGGAGGCTACAGGGGTCCAACCCGGACGAGAGGGAGGGGGGACCCAGCACTCAGGCGGCCTTGGCCTGAGACACCCTGGTCTCGGGGGGCGCCCGGCGGAACCACTCGCCCCAGGAACCGTCGTACACGGCCACGTCGGGTTTGCCACACAGGTAGGCAGCCAGGGCGATGTGGCAGGCGGTGACACCCTTGCGGCACGTGGCGATGAGCGGCTGGGCCAGGTCCACCTGCTTGGCCTGGAACATGGCCCGCAGCTCCTCCGGGCTCTTCTCGAAGCCGTCCGCCGTCATGAACTCAGTGAAGGGCATGTTGAGGGCCCCCCGGATGTGGCCCGAGTCCAGCCCTGGACAGGACAGGCGGCAGAAAGGACAGTGTTAAGGAGGGAGGGGCGGCGGCAGGGACAGAAAGCCTCGCAAATTAAAATCACATCGTCAGGGCCCGAGAGATACTACAGCCAGTGGGGCGCTTGCCTTGCGTGAGGCAGACCCAGGTTCGACCCCCAGCACCCCAGATGGTCCCCCGAGCCCCATCAGGGGGGCCACTGGCAGGGGTGGGGCTCAAAGATATCCGTGTTTGGGGCTGGAGCGATAGCACAGAGGGGAGGGCTGCGGCCAACCCGGGTTCGATTCCCAGCATCCCATATGGTCCCTTGAGCACTGCCAGGGGTAATTTCTGAGTGCACGAGCCAGGAGGAACCCCTGTGCATCGCCGGGTGTGACCCAAAAAGAAAAAAAATCCATGTTTTTCTTTCCAAACAAATCTTCTGGGTGGGGTCAGAGCGCGATAGCACAGTGGGAAGGGCGTTTGCCTTGCACCCGGCTGACCCGGGTTCGATTCCCAGCATCCCATAGGGTCCCCTGAGAACCGTCAGGAGTAATTCCTGAGTGCATGAGCCAAGAGTAAGCCCTGTGCATTGCCGGGTGTAACCCAAAAAGCAAAAAATAAATAAAAAGAAATTCGTGTTTTTCTTTCCAAACAAATCTTTTGGGCTGGGGCCAGAGCGATAGCACAGTGGGGAGGGTGTTTGCCTTGCATGTGGCCGACCAGGGTTCGATCCCCCAGCATCCCATACAGTCCCCCAAGCACTGCCAGGAGCAATTCCTGAGTACAAATCCAAGAGTAATTTCTGAGCATCGTCGGGTGTAGCCAAAAAAGGCCCCCGTGATTAAAAAAAAAAAAAAGAAAATCTTTTGGGGTTTGCTCCCAACGATTCCAAAGAAATACAGCACACTCAGTTCCAGGGGGACGCACCCAGCTCTGGCCCTGGGAGGCACGTGGGCCACACACCCTCTGGGAACCCCGACCCCATGGACTGGCATGATCTGTGACCCTTGCCCCCAGCACCACCTCAGTGCCTGCCTACCAGGCCGGGCTTGACCCCCGGGTCGTCTCGAAGAAATCTTCTCTCGCTTCACCACCCGCAAAGTGAGACCCTCTCACAGCGCCCCTGGCCCGGCTGCTGTAGGGTTCCTAAAGGGGTCTGCAGGGCAGGAGAGAGAGCCCAGGGCCTAAGGGACTGGCCTTCCACACAGCTGACCCCAGTTTAATCCCCCCTGAGTTGCAAAATATATATAAGAGACTGCCTCCACCCCCCACCCACTCCCCACTTCACTCCCTGGCTTCCCCCAGACCCAGACTAAGCTCAGCTGGTCAGGTTCCCTGCCTTACGGAGAAAGGGGGTTGGGCACATAATCCAGTGCTCCTGCCTGGCACAGAGCAAGCCTGGCTTTGACCCCCAGCACCCCACATGGTCCCCCAGCTCCATCAGGAGTGATCCCTGATCACAGAGCCACAAGGAAGCCCTGAGCAGCGCTGGGTCGGCCTCCCCTCAAAAAAAAAAAAAAAAAAGAGAGAGAAAGGATTCAGGTCTCCGGGTCCCACTCAGCACCCCTGACAAGCAGCACCCCAGCGGAGAAGCTGCAGCCTAAGGTACTGAGGTCAGCAGGATGCCTATCCCAGCCCCAACATTGCAGATCCTGGCAGAGCCCGGTAGGCCCTGGCGTCCCTGGGGGGGTGGGGGTGGGGGCCTCCTGGGAGGCCTGCACAGTCCACTGCGTGCGGTTCCCCAAACACCCTCCAGGCTCTGGACCTGAACTCCAACTCAAGCTGGTGGGTGCGGCCCCCGCGCCCTTTGCCTTGAACTGGGGATCTGGCCAAGTCAGCGGCTGGCTCCTGGCCTCCTGCCCTCCCAGCAGGGATCCGGAACCGGGCCCTGGAGCGGGCGGGGAGGGACTTGCGAACCCCCCAGCTTCTGGAGGCTTCTCGGGCAACGATAAGCCAGGTCAGCCAGGCTGAGTGGAGCCTCGGCATCCGGGTCTTGGAAATGGGGACGAGGGAAAAGGCAGATCTGGCGGTGGCAATGTGTGCTGCGTCCTCTGTACGCCACAGGGTAAACAAGCGGGAGTGAGAACCAGCTATTCCTTCGGAGACTAAGTCCCAAAGAGAGGCGCCTTGAACCGAAGCCAGGGCCGGCACCGAGTTCTGGGCCAGCTTCTCTGCAAGCAGACAAACAAAGCCTGAATCCACCTTTTATCCCCCAGCCTTGGAGAGCAAACTAGGCAAGAAACACGCAGGGCCTGAAATGGCCAGGAACAGCCCAACGTGTTACCAGGAGACGCCCGGCCTGGTCCTTTCTTTGCCCCCTCCCCCCCGTATTCCAGCCCCCCCCCCCCCCCCCCCCCGTATTCCAGGAGTTCTTTTTTTCGCTTTTTGGGTCACACCCAGCGATGCACAAGGGTTACTCCTGGCTCTGCACTTAGGAATCACTCCTGGCAGTGTTCGGGGGGGACCATATGGGATGCCGGGAATCGAACCCGGATCGGCCGCGTGCAAGGCAAATGCCCTCCCTGCTGTGCTATCGCTCCAGCCCCTCTATCCCAGGAGTTCTTAAAGAACTGGCCCTCTAGTTCAAACAGTATTGCAGGGGCTGGAGCGGAAGTACAGCGGGGAGGGTGCTTGCCTTGCACGCGGCCAATCTGGGTTTGATTCCTGGAGCCCCAATAGGTTCCCCGAACCTGTTCGAGAGGGATCGCCGAATGCAGAGCCAGGAGCCAGCCCCGAAACCACACTGTGTGTCCCCAGAACCAAAAAGCAAAACAAAACAAAGTGTCCTAGTTTCCACATAGTTTTCTTTTCGGAGGCCCAGGTGCAGGAGGAAGAAATACTTTCACCCCCTCTGGGAAGAGGCCAGCCCAGGCCCCCAGAGGCGAGGAGAGCATTGAGGTACTAGCCGACAGGTGTCCAGACAGGGGAGTTCGGGACACCTCTGCACCTCTTTAGGATGTGTTAGGGCTCTACCTCTCCTAGGATTCCTCCTGGCTCCAGCCACACGGACCCTGCAGGCCTCCCCTTGGCGGATGAGAGACACTCAGACAACTCCACCCGGAGTAGTGGACTCCTCCCAGGCAGGAGGAAAGCACCTGCCTCCGAGCCCGCTAGGGTCTTTTTTGTTTGTTTGTTTTAGCTTTGGGTCACACTGGGCAATGCACAGTGGTTCCTCCTGGCTCTGCACTCAGGAATTACTCCTGGCGGTGCTCAGGGGACCATATGGGATGCTGGGAATCGAACTCGGGTTGGCCACGTGCAAGGCAAACGCCCTCCCCCACTGTGCTATCGCTCCAGCTCCGAGCCCGCTAGTTTAAGGAGTGCCCTGCCATTTAACTGAGCAAGGACCCTAACATCATCCTGGCGTGGGAGTCCGTTCCTCTAACATGAGGGCCTTTAGCTGGGTCAGAGGAGACGGATGAACGAGGCAGCAGCTGCTGGTGGGGATCTCCAGACAGGCCTGGCTGCTGCCGATCAGACGGAAAAGCTCAGGGGTCCTCGGGAGTTGGGGGGACCTAGGGAGATGCTAAGAAACAGGGTCTCTTCGGGAGAGAGGCACAGCATGGGCGTTAGAGGGGCGTGGCTGGGGCAGGTCCATGCCACCAGCCACCTTTGCTGCCAACATCCCATAGGGATGCAGTGATGTGATTGGGAGCACCGCACAGACCTTTCCTCCCCATCCTTCCAGGGGGCTCAGCTCCCCACCGCCTCCCCCTCACTGCGTCACCTACCAACGGCATCGGGTTCCGGCTCGGTGCCCAGGTACCGCCCCTGGGACCTCGAATCCACCAGCTGGAACCTTCGCGACTTGAGATTCTCCAGCACCTGCTCGTAGGTCTTGAAGAGGGACCGGTCCAGCGTGGCCTTGAAGGTGGCGGGCTCCGGGCGCGTGGGCTCCGAGGTGACCGGGTGGCCCTCCTTGAGCCAGTTCCGGAAGCCGCCGTTGAGCACGGACACGGTGCGGTGGCCGAACACGCGGAACATCCACCAGACGCGCGGGGCGTAGAAGCTGCCCAGCTCGTCGCCGTCGTACACCACCACGTGCGTGTCGTTGCCGATGCCCAGGCGGCCCACGTAGGTGGCGAAGCCCTCCTCGCTGGGCAGCATCATCTCGTAGGGCGACGCCGTGTCCCGGCACACCTCGATGTCAAAGAAGGAGGCGCCGGGGATGTGGCGCTCCAGGTACTCCTGGCGGGCCTGGCGGGTGCCCGGCGAGTACCAGGAGGCGTCCAGCACCCGCAGGCTCGGGCCCACCTTGCCGGCCCGCACCGACTCGGCCAGCCACTTGGTGGAGACCAGCGCGCGGTAGAGCACCTGCTGCACCATGGTTCCGCCGCTGGTGTCGTCCCGGGCTGTTGGGAACCAGGAGACGGGCGTGAGGGTAACTTACCGGGTGGGGCGGGGCCTGGGAGAGGGGAGGGACCCTGACCCCGGGCTCGGGCCGGGAAGGGCGGGGGTTCGGGGAGTTCTAGACCGACCCAGCCCCGCGTCAGCAGCGCTCAGCTTGCAGAGGGCACCGCCGGCATGTAGATTTCACTGGCAGCGCTGACCCCGCCCGGCACCCCGCCCACGGCCCCGCCCACGGGGTGGGGGGACTCGGCTCCCAAGGGACGAGGCTAGAGGTTTTTTTAGGGCGCCCGTGAGGGGGTCGTCGGCCCAGAAGCCGGCGGAACCTGACCCGGGAATATACAATGCTGGCGCTCAAGATCCGGGCGGGCAAGAGCGGCTAAGAGTTGCCCAGCTGCAGGCGGGGATGGCCCCTTGGGCATCGCACCGGGAGGGCAGAGGAAGAGGTTCAGGGGGCGCAGGTTCCCTGGACACCCCCCCCCCCCCGCGCACACCTCTGTTGCCACCCTTCTGCTTCCAAGAATGCCCAAGTCCAGCGAGGATTCGGCGCCCTTTGCCCCAGAGAAAGTCCAGCGTTCCCGGGCACCGCCTCCCCCCTCCCCCGCGGAGTTCGCAGGTGGCGGGTCCAACTCCGGGCGACCCTCCCGGGTCACCTGTCCTCCGCCCCGACCCGGGCGCACTCACCCGCCCCGGCCGCCGCCCCTGGCGCTCGCCCCGGCCCGCTGCCCGAGCGGCCGGGTTCAAACCCCGAACCTGCACCTCCCGGACCGGCCCGCACCAACGCGCCGCGGCCCGGAGGGGGGAGCGCGCGCCGCCCACCCTCGCCGCGCCCGTCCCCGGGCCCCGCGCGCCCGCCACCCGCCGCTCCCTGGGCTCCGGGGGCCTTCCTGAACCCCCAGAGTTCTCGGGGGGTGCCGGGCGGGCCGAGCGATCGGCGGCGCGGGGGCTCGGCGGCGCGGGCGTCCCCCCGGCCGCGGCCAGGCCAGTGGAAGGCGCGAGCAGCCGGGCTCCGAGTGGCCGGCCGGGGGGCCGCCCCCGAGACTCCGCCCCGTGGCCTGTCGCAGGTTGGTGGCGGGAGGAGGGGGCTCTGGGGGCGCGGGGACGGGGGGCGTCTTGTGGCGGAGGGTGGGGGGCGCCGAGAGGTCGCGCCAACTGCAGGGACCGGGGTGACTGTCGCCGGGGTGTCGCCGTCCCGCTAGGGGGACAGGGATCGCCGGGGTGCGCGCGGCGTGGGCCGCAGCCGCGGAGGGGACCGGGAAGGTGCGACCCCAGAGGTCGCCCCCTGCCTCCTGGGGGCTGCCCATCTCCTGGGGTCCGGGTGGGGGGCCGGCCGTTAAGTGAGGGTGAGGGGGTCACGGTGTACCATAGAGGGAGTTGGACCAAAACCCGACAGAGAGAGAGAGCGCTGCTCCCCCCAGGCCAGGAAGGAGAAAGTGACAGAACTTGCAGGCAGGACATGAAAGTGACATTTGTCTAGGCCTGCTGGTTACCGTCCTGCAGGCTAGGCCAGAAACTCCCGGCAGGAGAAGCCGGACCAGGCCCCGTGACACTGAGCTGTTGCTAGCCCAGATCTGAAGGCAGCCCAATCCCCCTTCCCTTCATCCCGAAAAGAACGCAAATAAAATGCAAAAGGCCTTTGCTTTGCCCTGAGCCTACAGTTGCTATCACTGACCTGAGCTGTGGCTGGATTCAACAAGGATAGCTCCCCATTATCCCTGGAAATCCAACAGGTGGTTCTTGCAAGATGCTGTCCACCCCCCTACCAAACAAGAACACTACCCCTGCAGGCCTAGTTTTCCCTGTGTGTGGTTACTGAAGCCCACTGCTCTCCTCATCCGCTTCAAAGTTTCTTTTCATTGTAAAAATAATTGTATCCTCTTTTCATTGTATAAATAATTGTATCTGGAGAGGAAGTTGCAAAGGTGAACTTTGTTAAGCATTTACCCAGGAGTCCTCAGTGCTTGGGGAAACTGGGTGAAGGTCCTGAGTTGCCCTATACAAGGCTCTTCCCTGACCCCAAGGAGTCCCAGCATCTCTAAGATGAGTCTGGGGGCACCCTGTGGAGTCCTCATCCACCTCACGGGGTCCAGGTCTGCTAAACACAATTGAACCCCCAAGTCTGTCTGTCTGTCTCTGTCTCTCTCTGTCTCTCTGTCTCTCTCTCCCCCCACACCCCTCCCATCTTCCTCCCTCCTCCCCCTTTCTTGACCCCCCCAAATCAGAAAGGAGAGACAGTTTCCCACAGTTCCCCCAAACCTTTTAAGTCTCACCCAATCCTGGCATTCTTCGATTTTTCTAGATTTTTTTGGATGGTGGATTGGGTAGCCTGGACCCAAAGCCAACCTGGGAGAGGGCGTGAGGTTTGGGGTTTTTGTGTTTTTTTTTCTTTTTGGGTCACACCTGGCGATCTCAGGGGTTACTCCTGGCTTTGCACTCAGGAATTAGTCCTGGCAGTGCTCAGGGGACCATATGGGATGCTGAGAATCGAACCCGGGTCGGCTGCATGCAAGGCAAATGCCCTCCCCGCGATACTATCACTCCAGCCCCAGGTTTGGGGTTTTCACGAAGCTACTTCTCGTGATGATCGAGACCAGGCAGGGCTCACAGACCACCGCAGGCCCACTGGCCTCATTTTGTGCCCCTTTAAGAGCTGGGGCTCCGAGGGCCCCTGGAAAAGGTGCAACGACCCCAGGGTGCCCACCTATGCCATCCCTCACCAGGCTTGTTATGCAGCTAAGGGGAGGCTGTGAAGGCTGGGGAGGGGCCGCGGACAGGGATGGGGGGGGGGGGCTCTCATTTTCCCACCAGGCTCCTTTCCATTCTAAATGGATCCTTGGAGGAAAAACAAAAGCACCTCAGGAGGGCTGGGGAGGTGCTCAGGGGTTAGGGGACTCCTGGCACCCCATGATCCCCCACCCTGAGCAGTGCTGACTGCGATCCCGAGGACCCCCTCCAGTGCACAGCCAGGGTGAGTGTCCCCAGAAATGGACTCTGTGCCTTCTGAGCACTATTTGAAGTCCTCCCTCCCTGCCCCCAAAAAAAACTAAGGGACTCAAGAGAAAAAGGAACAGGGTTGTTAGGACCCACCGAAGTGTGCCTCAAGGACTCACAGCCCCCACATACTGGGACCACCCTGCCCCAGTGTCCCCTTGGCAGCCTCCGTATTCCAAAGTGCAGCAGTGGTCCCCAGAGCCCCCTGAAGTCACTTGGCATACCCCTCCTCCAGGAAGCCTTCCCCCGCATCAGGCCAAGCAAGCAGTTGGTGCCCACAATGGGCTCCAGACATTCCTGTTACACTGTCTGCTGAACGGCCAGTGGCCTGTCCTTGCCCCCAGGGCCTGGCAAAGCTAGGTGTCTCCGTGTCCAGCCCAGGGCCTGACCACGGGGAAAGCAGGTTCTTGATTAAATCAGCCTCAGAACAGACCTCGGTGCTGGGCGTAGGGCGTGACGCGGTTTGATTATCAGACCCCATCTGAGACTGGAGGCGTCTTGCCTGCAGAGTTGAATTCTAGCTGGACCAGGTTCAAGTTCAAGAGCAGAGCGCCTTCCTCCCTGACTACAGGAGCCTTCTGCGGCGGGACAATGGCTTGTCCTACCCCGCAAAACAGAGTGATAAAACAGAGTGATGCTGCACTCACCCCATCATGGGTCCTGGTGGGGGCCGTACCAGGAACATCCTGCCCCAACACACACACACACACACACACACACACACACACACACACACACACACACACACAGCCAGACTTTAGCTGCCTTGTCCACACGCTGGTTTACTCTCTGCTGCCCCCTGCAGGGCTGCGGAAGGAAGAGAGAGGCAGGTGCTGTCACTAGCTGAAAGGTTCAGGCTGGAGATCAAACCAACCTTGCCCATCAACCTAGCCTTGGCCAGCACCCAGTCCCTACACCATAGCGGGGTAAAAGTCTGGGTGCTGCGGTCTTACTCCCTAGTGAGAATCTTGCTGCCCTGCTGTTGTCCTTGGCCAGTTTAGTGCCCTCCTTTGAGCTTCCACGTTCTCCTGTCTGTGAAACCGTGAGCTACTCACTCTATAGATAACTTTTTTTGTTTTTTGGGGGCCCACACCCGGTATTCAGGGCTTACTTCCAGCTCTGAACTCATGAGTTACTCCTGGCACGGCTCAGGGGACCATATAGGTTGCTGGGGATGGCATCTGGCTTGGCCATGTGCAAGGCAAACCCCTCCCTGCTTTACCATCGCTCCAGCCCCTCCACACATCACTGGGCACCTCTAAGCTGCATCCTGCAGTCTTTGGAGCGTTGGATGGGGCACAGGAAGGTCCGTCCCGGCCCCGGTTACTGTTCAGCTGCTCCTGCATTGCTCCAGGAAGGAGTGAATGAATTCCACCAGGGGTCTTGGTGGACTGGGAAGGAAACTGAGGTACCAGGGAGATGGCCCAAAGGTTGGGTGCGTGCTTTGCATGCCGGGTTTAAGCCTGACCCCACCTGGAAGCTACCCCAAACACAAAGGGGGGTAAAAGATAGAAAGGTGAGCACCTTAGGGAAATGGGAAGGCTTTGTCATTAGGGGGGTGGGCGCCCCAAATCTGGCCAGTGGGGTGAGCCCTAGCTGATCGCCTCTGCACTCCGCTTCTGGCTTTCTCTGCCCTGGGGGGGGCTGCCTGCATGCTGGCCTCAGGCGTCCCTCCATGCCCCTCCAGCTGATTTCGGTCCCAACTTGCAGCCGCAGCCTCCTCCACCTGGATTTCCTCCTGATTTCCTTCCTCCCCGCCCCCCCCCCAGGCTAGGAGCCCAAGCGCCCCCCGCCACCGCCACCATGGCCCCACAGCAGCTGTTCCGTGCGCTGGTGTCCGCGCAGTGGGTGTCCGAGGCGCTGCGGGCCCCGCGGGCCGGGCAGCCGGCCCTGCAGCTGCTCGACGCCTCCTGGTACCTGCCCAAGCTGGGCCGCGACGCGCGGCGCGAGTTCGAGGAGCGGCACGTGCCCGGCGCCGCCTTCTTCGACCTGGACGCGTGCAGCGACCCCGACTCGCCCTACGACCACATGATGCCGCGCGCCGAGCACTTCGCCACCTACGTGGGCAGCCTGGGCGTGGGCACCGACACGCACGTGGTGGTCTACGACGCCAGCGACCAGGGCCTGTACGCGGCGCCGCGCGTCTGGTGGATGTTCCGCGTCTTCGGCCACCGCGCCGTGTCGCTGCTGGACGGCGGCCTGCGCCACTGGCTGCGCCTGGGCCTCCCGCTGGCCTCGGGCCCCAGCCGCCCCACGCCCGCCCAGTTCCGCGCCACGCTCGACCCCGCCTTCATCAAGACGCACCAGGACATCAAGGAGAACGTCGCGGCCCGGCGCTTCCAGCTGGTGGACGCCCGCGCCGCTGGCCGCTTCCGCGGCGTCGACCCGGAACCCCGAGACGGTAACGCAGCCGGGGTGGCCGCGGGGTGGGGTCAGGGGAACGGGCCCCTCCTTCCTGGAGATCTCCGGGGCTTGGGGACAGGCGCGCCCTGGGTCCTGGTTGGCAATTTGCCCTGGGCGTGGAAAGACGCCCTGTCCCTTCTGCACCCCAACCCACCAGTTTGGTTCCCAGCCCTTCGACTTGCTGAGCTTTCATTTAGGCCTTTTAAGTTTTCGTCTCTAAAGTGGGTCTCTCTGGGCTGGAGCAATAGCACAGCGGGTAGGGATTTGGCTTGCATGCAGCCGACCCGGGTTTAATTCCCAGCATCCCATATGGTCCCCTGAGCAGCGCCAAGGATGATTCCTGAGTGCAGAGCCAGGAGGAACCCCTGTGCATCGCCAGGCGT